TTGGTCATCTTTTCTATAGGTCGTTTCGTGTGAGCATCCACTGAGGAGAAAAAAAATGAGATTTTAAAGAAGAAGAAATGAGAGAATCTCTCTCCTTTTGAGTTTGAATGGATGAGAGAAAAAGGTGGGTAGGGTGGAGGGGGTAGGGGAATGAAAAGAAGAGAGAAAGAAATTCAGACCCCGTGGCTGGGTCCACGGGTACGAAGGGGGTGTGCCGCGTGCCGGGAGGAGATGTGGCTTCACAGGGGGCCCACCGGTCGACTAGCGATGCCGGTCCCTCACCGTGAGATCGGCGGGCCCTCCTGGTGAGAACCGACGACGCGCGACCGACAACCATGTCACATTATTACCATATTGGTACGCCGCGCGTCGTCACAACACTCCACCACACGAGGCATATAGCACTGCTTATTTTTTTTTAAGCATTAGAGGTTAGAATGATTTCTCTAGTTGGCTCGTCATTTCCGAATGATGAGAAAAATTTAATTATGCAAAATAAAATGAATTCTAACTTGAAGATGATTAAAATTATTGAGAACAATCAATGATCATCGTTTGGAAAAATAATGGGATAGTTTATAGCAGTAATCTATTTGGGCATTAAGAAGTTGATTCTCGTAGAAAATTTCTGGTGTTGAATAGAACAAAATTTATTTATGCTGTCTTTGACGAAAAATGAATACGTACTCGGCCATTATCGAAAGGTACATCAGTGGTAATGACTCTCATTGACACAGGGGATGTAGTCATGCCTTGTTTTACGAAGTGACGACGCAATGAAACACTCGTGGACATCATGCTGGCTCCCCAGTTGGAAACAAAAAAAAATTGTGCAATATAAATATTCAAATTTATCCGTTTTTCGTTGACATTAGATTAACAGTTTTACGTTTATTAATTTCTCGCTAATACTCACAGCGGGAGTGGATGAGATGGGCGTAAAAAAAATCTCAACTCGCCTGGTGAATGACTCGAGTTTATACCAGAGAGACATCTCTTTTTCATTTCAACATTTATTCTCAATTTCTTTTTTCCCCTGTTTCTACACTTTCCAGAAGTCACTGACTTTCCTTGGCCACTAAAAACACCGTGAGTTGGATGGGAGAAAAAAAAAATTCAACATGAACATTTATTTTTCGCTATTTCACATTTTTTATTAGCAGTGGACGACGTGTGGGCAACAATAATTTTTTTTTTAAAACATGTTTTTTTTCCTCTTTTTTTTTCTAATTAATCTTGACATTCTCCGGCGACCGGGCACGAATCACCCTGTAAATTATCGGACCACCGCTATCTCGACATTATTGAGCTCCGGTACCTGCTCTTCCACGCCTCGAAGCATTCACACGCGAGATAACGTTATCTTCTTCTTCAGTTTGGTACCTTGGGAGGCAGGTATAAGAAAAACCTATGGTTATGTGTAGTTGTGTGTATATACATACACACATGAAACATAATCGCACGTGCAATCCATTAAAAATAATATAAAAGAATACCAATATCGATGAATTCAAAAAAATTGACAGTTGCATGGGTCCCAATTTTTGGGCCTTATCATATTCATGACGAAAATGTGGCGACAGCTGATTGACAATATTTTTCGGCCAACTATGGAAATCGGAATAAACTATGTTAGGGCCCTACGGACCCCAAATGAATGAATTATTTCAGGGCCCAAATGTGTAATCCATTAAAGATAATATAAAAGCGTATGAATCTCGCTGAATTCGAGAAAATCAATCGCTTCATAAGTCCCCATTTGTGGGCCTTATTAATAACGAAAATATGACGCCACTTGATTTACAATATCTTCCCTCAAACCATGGAAACTGGAATGAACTATTTTAGGGGCTAGCCAACCTTAAATGAATGAAATATTCTCGGGCCCATTAGGCCCAAACATGTAATAATTGAGGATAATATAAAAACGTATGAATCGCGCCGAATTCAAGAAAATTGACAGCTTCGTGTCTCGGAAAACGGAATAAATAATTTTGGGGCCCTACAGGCCCAAGTCTGTAATAGTAAGGCGTGTGTTTTCCTGAAAAAATCTCCGCCAGTTTAACGACTCGATAATTTCACAGTGTGTGGATTTAAAATTTTAATGTCGACAATGAGAACGTGAAAAGTGCGAGATGAGGTATGAAAGGCGGTCAGGGCCCAAGAGACCGCAGGTTGTAACATATTACATTGGTGATCGTTTTATACGTCTCCTGATCCTCTTGTTCCCGGTGCTCTTCCTCTTGTGGGCGACCTAAGAAGTAAATAAAAAAATAAGATTGGACACAGAAATGAATATACGCGATGCGGTATGCTCTCTTGCGGCGAAACCGTATAACCCAAAGAGAATCCAATAAATAAAATGCATACAGCCTATCCTGGCTAGGATATTATTTGCTCTCATTTTGTGTGTGCGAGAGAAGAGAAAGGAAACTGAGGTATATGGAACAACAACTCGGGCAAAACCATAACGAAGTGACGCAGTTGTCATTCGGATATTTTTTGGCGTTGAGGGAGGTTGGGCCCGAATACGGACGAGAAAAAAAAATTTCAAATGCGTGGGCCTTTTGATATTCCTCTCCAGCTTCCTTCCTCTTGAAAATTTCCCCTCAGTTTGTCGCAGGAGTCAGTTTTACGCGGTCAAAGCGCCTCAGGATTTTACCGCCGTCCGTCATCCTGTCCGCCTGGGCCTTACTTTTTCTCCATTCGTGAATCTCTATACACCTTAACACCCACGCGTGAAATTGGGCCCCGAACGGTGGATAATTTTTTATCTCCGGTGAATAGAATTGATCGGATGTTTGTGCCAATTGTGTCAGTCAGACTAATAGAAATTTATTCACCGATGAAGGATCATTGGACAAATGGGCCTCATATGGGCCTCATATGGGCCTCATATGGGCCTCATATGGGCCCAGTGGCCCCCATTATTTATGCAAGAAATATTTTTCAATGCAGTTCAATCGTCGCACGTTGTAAACAATCCGTGGGCTTTGGCATTTGTTAGATATTGCGGGTGGGCTTCTCTCTCCCTTCCGTGTTTAAGGCCCATGCATCGGTTGATGTTTGCATGTGGCTGAGGTGCGCGTGAAAGAGCATCCCCGATCGTATATCGGCAAATACAACTTCGTTCCTTGAATCCCTCGTATGGAGACGTTACGCCTGGTGTGAGTATCCGCACATGTACCTCTCCTTTTCACTCACCTCCGCACTGTCTCTCTCTTTTGGGGCCCGTGTAAACGTGGTACACGTTCAATAAGATCGTCCCCGGTATCTGGGGTCTTTTAAGACACGGGAAAAGAAAAGGGTGATAAAAAAAACTGGGGGAGCAGAGACTCCGCGCGTTCAGTATTTTATCTCCGCTATGCTCAAGCATTGGATCAAGTGAAATAAAAAAAAAATGTTTAAAAAAAGAACAGGAACACACTTCCTTCTCAGGAATTCCCAAAAAATATCCACCGGACAAATCGATTCGGTACCAGTCCAACTGGAAAACACCTACGCAAAATCCTGTTCAGTGTTTTTTTTTATCCCTTTTTGTTCTCTCTCACTCTCCCTTCCAAACTCAGCCTCGTTTTATTTTCATTCCACAGCTATGTTTTAGCCCAAGTGAATAAGGAAGAGCTGAATGAGTACACCCACCTTATCAACCAAGTATCAAGAATCATGGATTAGACCGAGGTGGAAGAAGCGTGTATCAATCCCTTAAATCAGGGTAGTCGAGAAGGGATGGAGAGACATGTAGACTTGGAAAATAAAATGGAAGGGAAAAAGAAATTGCCAAAAGAAGGAGAGAGTTGGAAAAGGAGTAGGATACCCCCGGAGGAATTTTCCTTTTTTTTTTGCAGTGATGAAGGAGGACATGCGCATGCAGATCACGTTGGGTTGTAGCGCAGTGATACCGTATCTGTGGGCGGCGCGTGCGTGTGGTCCCTCGGTGTCCTCATGCGAAGAAAGATAGACGATTCTCTTACCCCCCTCCATCTCACTTGCCCGGGACTTATGCCCCCTCACCTCCCACCCACCGTCGCGTAAGTCCCAATGAGGCCCCACGCGAACGCGCGACCAACTCTCTTACTTCACTCTCTCTCCCACCCCCCAACACCTTCCTACACGCATCACCTCTCACTTCCTCCAATAGGGCCCAATACAAGGCCCCACCACCATAAGGGATTTACACGCGTTTTGCATGGGCCCGCGTGCTAAACCTCAATTTTTTTTTCTCTGTCTTCTTCTTTTCAACCTAATGCTGCCCCGTCCACACCTCATCCACATCGCGCTTACCCGTTGGTGTTGATGTATAATAAATGTTTTTTTTTTTTTTTTTCATTTTTAGAATCCACCAGCGAGTTCTGGGTGATCGGACTCTTTTTTCTCGTCGACTTGATTGTCCAGTGTTCTTTATCGGTGGGTTTGACTGTAAAAATGAGGCCCCATGAATACATCCACCGGTGGATATCACTCTTTTTGTAAGAGGGGGATAACGAGCTTATGAGGCCCCTTAGTTTGAATATCATCGGGTCAGTGTGAGAAGGTGAGAACTGACCGCACACGATTCCCCCCATTTCTTATAATTTCTTATCGCATTTGTTTCCCCGTGGTGTTTTATTTTTATTTATTTTCGAGGTTAGAGTGGGCCTCATCCACCTCGATAATGGCCTCGACGAAGTAAGAGAGGAAAAGAGTGTAACCCTAGACGAACGTATCAACTAAGGTGATGTCCCTGACGCGCACCTGGCGGTAAGTTAGCTTTGAAACACGAGCCACCTGTTCGTCTCCAGCGTTTCATTATTTTTTTTTTCTCTTCTTTTTTATTTTATTTGAAATGTTTTTATTTGGAGAGGCATGGGAGAAGGTGGCCAATTAATAAGCTAGACCCTCACTTAATTATCATCATTGTTCCAAGAAGCAGTCAGACAAGATGAGAAGGTTATGTTTCATTAACATATTCAATCATCACTGGGATTTCACCTCAACTCTGAATATTCGCATTATTTGTTTCTAAATAATTATAATAAATTTATTTTACGTACAATGAAAAACACAGACTGTTATCGTTATAATCTCCACGTCATCACAAATCTAATAAACATAACTTTACATAATCTGTAATATACAATTATGATTAAATGACAGATAAGATCAGTATGAGCACGAGCCGAAGTGATTTAATATCAATGGAATTGAGATTCTGGGCGAAATCTGATGATAGATATCACTGAGCTATGATCAGATAGAGTCTTTTCGTCTCATCTCGTAATATTACATCGATTAATGGATTTTTTAAAATGATGATTTTAGAAAATTATGAAGTCTCCTGGAGAACGGCACTCGATCCTGGTACAGCGATACCAGGTGGTGGTGGTGATGATGATACACCAAGATTGTGAGTCAACGAGTGCCTTCTCAAATCGCAATTTCTCCGAAATACTTTGCCACAAGAGCCACAGTGATACGGTTTGATGTCGGTGTGGGTCAGAAGGTGAGTCTTCAAATTACTCCGCTGATTGAAACTCCTAGCGCAAACTGGACATTTGTGTGGTGACTCCTCCATGTGAAGTATCTTGTGTACAGCTAGTGTTCTACTCTGGCAAAAACCTTTTCCGCATTCAGCGCATTTGAATGGTTTCTCTTTACTGTGAATATACCTGCAACAATAAAATACTATTTGTCAAGATAAATAATTTCAAACACGCTGTAATGTGAATAATAATTGTCAATAAAACTTCAGCATTATGTTGAAGAGTCGAGTAAAAGGTAAATGTTAAATTAAATGAGTTAAAATAATGTTTGGGTACAAACCGCATAACGAGCCATGCTCAAATCAATTTGTTACGGATCGTAAAATAATGGTACAGGAAAGAGGGAGAAAGTACTTTACGTGCGGCAATAATCGGCTCATTTTTGAATTATCAAGGTACCGGAGGGCTTTCTTCATCATTCCAGTGCCCACGGGTTGTGTGAATAGATATATAATCAGCATGTTTCTTTTATTCTCAGGATTATGGATAAAAATCAGTTTAAGTGCACGCCATGTTGGTATTAATGGGTGAAAGTTTAGTCTGCATTATGTATTTTAGAGTACCTGTGATCCCTGAGATGATCCTGCCGTCGGAACGCCTTTCCACAAATGTCACAGGAGTACGGCCTCTCGTCGGTATGCGTTCTCTCGTGTATCAGTAGATTGTAAGATTTGGTGAATTGTCGGCTGCAGAATTTACAGATAAACTGTTTTTTCGGGCGTGATGCACGACAATTGCGTGGCAATGAGTCGGTTGAGGTGGATGTCGCTTGAACGGATGATGTCGGTGGTTGTGATGCAGATGGTGTTGTTGATGGTACTTGTGTGACATCAGTAATTCTCTGGAGTAGTGCATCACGATGACTCGCTGATGCTGATGATGCCTCCGGATTTTCCTGGATGAGGGACTCCTCCTCCTCGAGTAGGGCAAGATCCTCCTCCGGATCCGTGACGAATTCCAGATGTGACACTTCATCGTCATCCAGCGATGTTGACTGAAGTACCTCAATACCAAGATCGCTCTTCAGTGGTGATGAACCTGATGTCAATGGGCTGGTAGTGGTCATGTTGAGGGAGAGGCATCTCGGTGATATCGAGATACCGGCGAAGTTGGGGCTTGACGGTGTTGATGACGACGACGAGACACCCGCTGTTGCTCCACTTGCATGCAGTCGGTGAAGGGTAAGATAAGTCTCCAATGCCTGGAGATTGAGGGCAGCTGCTGCTGGTCCAGGTGGTAGCAATGCTGCACGCTGCAGCGCTGCCAATAAAGCACCCTGCAGTCCCAATGCAACACTCTGTAATGTTAAATTTGGCAGGGTTGAATCAATACTTGATGACTCCGTTGATGACTCAGCCTCACGAAAGTCCGTCGATGTCATTGAGGTTGTCGTTGGTACTTCCTGATTGTCTTCCTGCATCCTCACTGATCTTGTGTTCTTCATCAATTCACTAATCACCATTCGTTAAATAATAATGCACTCGTGTTTTTTAATCCGACACTCAAGTTCCCATCACTCATGACAACGATCAATTAACAATTACTACGATATTTTGCAATTGACTTACATAACTCGTCATTTAATCCGGCATTGATAATCACAGCCGATCATTTTCACGGTCACACGGAAGTGACGTATCCGTTTGAACAATCCATATTTGTATTCGTGCCTGGTATTTCCGTGAAACTGTCAAGTGCTAATTTGTCTGTCTGTTTTCTTTTTTTTTTTAATTCAAAAATATAATAACCAGACGTTGGGTACGGGGCGGTGCTCGCAGTGCGAAGGCGCCCTGAAGACTGCTTGGGCATCTCGCTGCTGGGCACTGCTGGTGGAGCCACCTGGTGGCGATTATTCGAGTGAATACCCTGGCCCACGTAGGTTCATGTATACACTTGGTCGGACGTTAGTCGAAGAGAGATAGAATCTCTCTCTCTCTCTCTGTGTCTCGAAAAAAAGCCTAAAAAAAGAGAAGAGTTTGACATGCGTGCGAGTGCAAGAGGGCGAGAGTGAGGGTGGGAGGGGGAGAATCAAGTGAGGCCCCACCGGACCCCGACAGCTGGGGCAGCCCCAAAGTGTATATATCCACTCGTTGGATTCACGGCTTGGCAACACACACGGTCGCGGGCACGCGTGCACTGGGCCCAAGAAGTTTGCGGGGGAGTTGAGGAAAAAGAGGGAGAGAGAGGGAGGGAGAGAGAGAGAGAGAGAGAGAGAGGGAGATAGAACACATGGATATTCATAAGCGTGTGGCGGTAAACCGTCGTTTGCTATCACGCAAGGTCTCTTTAACAATGCGTATATAGGGCCCCATAGTGTGAGTCTGAGGCCCCCGCAAAGATATCGGCTTCATGCTACGATTTATGACTCTGCTAATCGAACCACAGCACATCGACAATTAAAGGGAGTTGGGGTTTAACGCCTCTTGCCAAGGTACTCGCCAGATGGGGAATTATGTAATATAATTGGGCCGTACGGCCCATCACCATCTGCTTCTCACAGTGATACCACTTGTCTATTATTAAAACTTCAAGTCTAGATACCCGTGGAATTTCTTCACCCTTCTGTTCTTCATTATCGAGAAGAAACCATTTTTATTAGGGCCCTCAGGCCCCATCACGATGAGAAATAAACACGAGTTCCGGTACATTTGATTCAGACTGGCGGCGCCAGTGGACAAGTAATACTCCTTTGATAACTGACCGCTCTCTGTGTGCATTGAGAATCCTCTCTAAATGTCTCAAACGAGATATCCATTTGGGGGCCCCTCCGTTATACCCACCATCAGTTTATTTCATCTCGTTTTGTTTTCATGACGCTCATTCGTAACGTTTGGTACACCCTGGAAAAGAACTGCAAAGCCGCAACAATTTACGACGGCAATTAATGCGCGCGAGAGTAAATCCGTGGTGTATGCGCCTAGAGGGGCCCTAGGACGAGGTGATCGGGCCGTGGGCCCGTGGGTGCCGGAGACGAGCGAAGCGAAAATATAAGTATGTAGAGGTGGCGGCGGGAGGGGGAAGGGGGTAAAAGGGAAGAGGGACGGGGGGTGGGAGGGAGAAAACGTTACGTACAACTTGACGAGAAGGGGGAAAGGCGGCGAAGGGGGGGGGGGATATAACAGTGAATTGGCGCAAGTGAGAAAGAGGAAGTGTAGCCAAACGGAGTGAGATAGTTGATTTAACAAAAAGAAAATGAAAGAAGTGAGCACCGGAGCAGACTAAATAATATTATAGGTGGTGTTCTCACGGTCTCAGGACGCCCGCGGGCCCCAACTTGCCACCCCTCCTGTAACATCGCCCACGCCAAGCTAAGAAGGCCCTGGTAATACGAGTTTAACGGGTGCGACGAGATAAAACTTCATGCCGAAGAGAGATAGATAATGTGGAGGGGGTCAGGGGTCAGCTCGCGCTCGCTGACCGTCACCCGGGACTCTTCCCTCTCCCCCCCCCCTCACTCTCTCGCTCTCTCTCATTCTCCCATTCTCTCTTTTTCTCCATAAAAGACCCCCTCCCTCACCACCCCCCAACATCCACCTCGCCCCAGCACGCTAGGGCCCTTGGAGAATCGGGGCCCGATGGGGGCCTCGTTGCGAACAACTCCGGCCGGTTCACCGATTTCTTCAACTTACGCGGAGCATATCCTCTCAGACATTCTGCATGAGACCCCGTGCGCTTAATCATCCACTCACTTGAAAACTGACTGACTGACCCATAAGGCCCAAAAATAATGAAACTCGATGGCAAGCATCGCCAATTGGATTAATTTGATAGGATTTTTTTTTCTCGTATTGGTGTCCTGTTGGTAGTTTTGGGCCTTTTTTGGGACAGTCAAGGCGTGGGAATGTGGTAGACGTTTTTTTTTTCGTATTTTTTTTTGGAACTGTTGGATTGATTGTTAATGCTCAGGGCTGATTAAATAAATTGATTTCGATTGAATTGTAATTGAATGAGTGACTGTGAATAATCGATGAGGATAATGAACAAACTGGGTAATATCGGGTTGTAATTCAACACAACAGGGTGCTACAGTGGTAGCTTATAGGGAGTAGTTTCTCTCGAGTGTGTTTGAACGATTGTGAAGCTGGATGACTCCGCGTGAAATACACAAACTCCAACTACCTTTGCACTTATGGGCATAACTCCTTGTTGGGGCCTTTGTGTGCTCTCATTCTTGAGGCTTCCCAGGAGGTGGCCCAGGGCTTCCTGCCGCGTAGATAATTAGATCGCTACTAAGCATCTCCAACTTTTTGACGCATCTTCACTTCTTCTCTTCCTTCTCACCCGTTCACATGCGGCTTGGTGTGCACACAGTTTACAGAGTGGCTTTAATATTTCTTACCCTTTTACACGCCTCGAGAGAGATTTCTTCACGCTGGCCCACCATCGGGGTTCAAGATAGGAAGGTTTCGGAGGGAGGAGGGATACAAAAAATTTAAGACAACACCCATCTACCAAATGCCTTTTTTTCCAACGTTCTTGGACCCCTGGCTGAGACACACCGTGGAGATTGATTCGTCCAATTACGCTAAACAATCTCGCACCGTAAACTCGATCGGTTTATTCCAGCTGTCAGTGAATCGTCACGATTCACATTTTCTATATGATTTTTGTTGGAGGAAAACTATCCTTATAGGATATTCAATCGTTATTAATTGTTTTACAATTAATAGTTCAATAATTATTGACTTTTATCATTGTCATTGGTATTTTACGTTTTGCATTAGTTTTTAGAAGTGAAATGGCAATAGATATTATCATTGTTATTATCAATAAAATTGTTTAGCATGAAATTATAGTGGTAAATTTAATGGATGAAAGTAAGAAATGAACAGAAGGATAAAATGAAAGCGATTCATTGACTGTTGCATCAAATGATTTTTCACGTGGCGCAGACAAGGAGTAATCGAACAACACAGTTGAAAAAAAATTATTCAAGTGTATTTTCGTCGATGACTAATCGATTCATTTCGCGAAAATTATTTATAAACTAATGAGAGTAAAAAGAAATAATAAAGCGCGGCATCTTGTGGCTCTACACCTCGGGTATTATTAATTATTGGGGAATTAAAGTTCCGGGAGTGGTTCGAGTCCGGAGGAGCACCCGGGGTTTCCATCCGCGATTTTTGAGGATAATTCATTTGAGTCTTTGGGACCTATTTTTATGTATGAATATAATGTGGGCCCCTACCTTTTACCACTTGGTGTTTTTCCCCTGGGAATGACTAGATAAAGTGCCATCTTCCGCGACTCCACCTACGGCGCCACTGGGGTCCATAAGACGAAATAAATGTGATACTTTCAGCACTACCACCTCCTTGGTCGCGCCACAGAGTGCGGTCCCATAGCGCATTGGGGCCCATAAATAACGCATAACTCCCGCGGACAGGGACATCTTTCCGTATGTTCACGCGGAACAGAGGAGTCCAATTCCGAATGAGAGGGTCGAAAAATAAAATGAGACTTTTGGGGAAAAATATAAAGGCGCTGTATGGGTCTGTAAGGCTCAAAATTGGTTGATCCGGATCAATCGTAAATAGACGACATTCTTCGTGTAATTAATGCCCCATGGATTTCGAAATGTTGGAAGTAATGACTTGGGCGGGATGGCTACAATCTTTTGGGGCCGTAAGGCCCATTTTTCATAATGTGCTTATGAATGAGGAATTTTTAGGGTTGTCAAGCTGAATGAGAGGAGAGAATCGTAGAAACACTTGAGTCGTAAGAATGTTATGAAATTTAATTAGTCGCAGGGCCCTCAATGTGGAGAGATCATTTGAGAATGAGAAAGTTTTTGGGACTCATTAGTATTTGATACGCTAGGAATCGGTGAGTTATAATTTTAGGAGACACTGGGTTATAGGACTGATTGAAATTCAGGCGAGGAAAATTTTGACGAATTTGTTGGAGCGCATTCGGGCATTATAGGGGTATCATGTACGCTGACGTACTGATGAGGCCCCGGAATTTATGGATGATCAATGTAGGGCGGCACAATTTTCAGGCAATATTACTTTGGACGGGTTTCAAGATATTGAATGGTAATTGAAAAAGAAGGGCATTCGTTTCAGAGATGTGTAAGGCCCAAATTTAATTAACCATAGCATCATTATGGATGATGCTCGAATGTCTTTAGGGCAAGATGGATGACAGAGTATGAAAAAGAAGCATTCATATGTCCTTTGGAGATCTGGGGACTTTGGGAACTGTGCAGGACCTGTAAGTCCCAAAATGAGTTGCTACATTTTCAAGTGTATTTCGTATATATTCAAGATGTTATCGGTATGAGCGGCTCGAATTGAGACTCGAAGATGCAGTCGATTCCCTTGAGACCTAAGGCCCATTTTTTACAATACCTTAACAAATGAGAAATTCGTTGTTTTTATTGAAAAATGAGGGAGAAGGTGAGGGAATAAAAATTTTCGAGAGGTAGTCACGAGGTAATCAACACTCGTTGGTTGGATGGGATCCCAAAAAGTATAAATATTAAGGGATGAGAGACAGAGTGCGCGCAGAGGTGCCCTCATCGTTTTCGTGACCCTACGCGCGAGGCAGCGGTGAAACCCCTGGCAGGGGGTCTTCCACCGGCATCTCCTTCCTATCTTTCTTAAAGATGCCCAAGATGCCTGTCACCGATAGTGATTTGTTGAGTATATTTGCATTTTAGATTTAGGCTGCCGCGCCTGATGGCGGCAAGCAGTTGCCTCTTCTTTTTCCCTCTCCCCCCCTCCCCCCATCTCTCTCTTTTTCTATTATCCCCCTCTCCGCTGGTTTCTCAT